GACCAGAACCAGCCCTTCAAGAGATATAACATGGTCCATACATCTTGAAGCCATGGAAAAAAACCACTATTTTAAACCATGGTTTTTGAGGGGGAAAGAAAAATCATTAAAATTGAAAATGTTTAAACTGAGAAACATCTAATAAATCAAACACATCTAATGAATGAATGAATGAATGATATAGCACCCAGAAGACACAGCAATAGCTGAAGGTGGAGGTCAGAATTCCAGTGTGTGGAGGGGAGAGGAAAGGCCAGGACATGGAGAATCCAGTATTCCAGCTCCAGGCCTCCTCTGGAAGAGTGTCAGAGGCCCATCCAGAGGATAATGAAACCAAAGGACTGGAGAGTCTTCTCCTCCACTCCTCTCATGCTGGTGGAAACTGGCCAGGAGAGCACTGGACAGGTGTGAGAGTGAAAGATGGGATAATGTGCAGTGTTTCTCTTACAGGAAAGCTTCAGCTCTACATCCACTGGCTGCTACAGTATCTAGTGGACACTGGACTAAAACAAGTCTAGCAATGCAGGACTCTACTGAATATAGAGAGTCTCTTCTCATCTTATACTCTGGTGACTCTACTTACATTTTGGGAAACTGAGCATGACTTGAAGCATCTGTAAACGTCTACCGCTAAAATAGAAATTAGATCAACAACTCTAATAAAAATTGGATTTAATAACTATGCTGGGCATTTCTATAAATATTACATATTGAGTATTTTCATAAAAATCTCCCTAGTATGTCATTTGTGGAAACCAATTGGTGGGAGTAACCCTTACTTTTCCTGAAACAGTTTATTCATAATTATGAAATTCTGAGTAGTTCAACTTCTCAGGAGAAAATTATGCTAGGTAAAAAACAGAATCCATTTTTCCTTTTTTTCTGTTTTTTTCTCTCCCAGTTTTCTCCCACGCCCAGAGTCCTTCACATCTCTAAGCCTTGCCTCACACCCTCCCTGCCGACCAATAACAACAGCCACAGAGGCATGGAGGAGCACTGTTCCAGGTGCAACCTTCATAGGTGGGAAGGAAAGGTGGGCTTCACAAGTGAGGAGGGAAGCAGGGCCATCCCTATTTCTGGCTGGTAGGAGAGCAATGTCTGATTAATTGCTTCCTTTCTGCTCCTCAGAAGCCAATGTCTGTTTCAATATCGTTGATATACTCTGTTCTGTCATATCTAGAAAAGGGCAGTGGAGAGTATTGGAAACAGACTTCAAAAACCTTTTCACAACCATTAAGTGAATTCTGAAATGGGACTGTACATATGTCCATAATATTATACTTCCTGTTGAATCAATTGAAATTATTCCAGAGAACATTTTACTGGTTGTAGAGCAGCTCATACCAAACCCTTTCTTATGGAGATAAGACATATTCTCACTCTTTCCTATAAGAATTAAGGCATAGCTGTTAATAATCCAGTAGTAAAGTTGAAAGGCTGGATAAAGTATTAGGTTAAAAAATTCTACAATTGAGCATTAGCTGAATTGGATTCCCCACAATGGCCTAAGTACATGGTTGAAGCATTTTCAAAAGCCACATGGACTAATTCTTTCTTCCTCATGGGAATGTTTGTTCTTGGGATCCAAAAAGCTTGTTCTATTTTACTTTAGCAAGGCTCTAAAACAGACAGCTTAACACCTGTTTTGGGTAACTTGGCTGAAAGGGTTATTAAAGAGAGAATCAGCAAACACGCAGAGGGATAAGACCTGCTGGAAAAGAATTGACATGGCTTCAGCAAAGGTAAGTCCTGCTTTGCTAACCTTTTGGAGTTCTTCAAGAATTTCAATAGACATGTGGGCAGGGGTAATCTGGTAGACAATGTTTACTTGGACTTCTAAAAGAGTTTTGACAAAATTTCTCACCAAAGACTCCTGAACAAACTTAGAAGTCATAGAGAAAGAAAGGAGGTTCTCTTATGGTTAGAGAACAGAAAGCAGAGTGGCAATAAATGCTAATCTCTCTCAATGGAGGGATGCAAACAATGCATTTTCACAGGGTTCTGTATTAGGACAATGCTTCTCAGACTAGTCATAAACAATCTGGAATTAGAAGTAAGTAGTGAATTGGCCAAGTTTGCTGATGATATGAAACTATTTAGGTGATTAAAAAAGGATATTGTGAAGTGTGGCAAAGTGATCTCTCAGAGTTGAGACAATGGCATCAAAATGGCAAATCTGGTTCAGGATAAGCAAATGTAAAGGTTGGGACAAAAAAAATCCAAACTTCAAGTATAAGCTGATTGGATCTGAGCTAGCAGTGACTGACCAAGCAAGGGATCTTGCGATTATGGTTGGCCTCCTGATGAAAAGTTGATCCAGTGCATGGCTGCTCTGAAAAAAGCAAACACCATGGTAGTCATAATTAAGAAAGGAACTGAAAATAAAACCACCAAGATCATACTCCTCTCATACAAACCTATGGTGTAACCACACTTAAAATATTGTGTACAGTTCTGATCAATGCACCTGATAAAAGATATTGAGTTGGAAAAAGTGCAGAGGACAACTAAAATGACCAAAGCGTGGAGCAACTCCTATACATGGATCAGATACAACATCTAGGATTATTTAATTTAGAAAACTATGAGTAAGGGGAGACTTGATAGAGGAATTCAAAATTATGCATGGTGTTGAGATAGTGGAGAGGGAGATATTTTTCTCCATCTCTTGTAACACTAAAACTTATGGTCATCCCATGAATGGTTGATTCAGGACAGATAAAAGGAAGTACCTTTTCACACAGTCAAAAGTTAAACTATGGAATGCACTGCCACAGAGAGTAGCAATAACCACCAATTTAGACAGCTTTAAAATTGGATTGGGCGAATTAATACAGAAGAAAGCTAGCAATGGCTACTAGTCTTGATGGCTCTGTGCTACTTCTCGTATCTGAGGCAATATGCCTATGTACACCAGCTGTTGGGGTACTTGGGCAGGATCATGGTGTTGTACTCATGGCCTGTTTGAGGAATCCTGTGGGCAACTGGTTGGCCACCATTTGAACAGAATGCTGGACTGGATGAAGCAAAAGCCATGATCCAGAATGGTTTTTCTTACATTCTCATTCAGCGAGTTCAATGGGAGTTCAATCTCTCAGTAAGGATGGATTGGATTGCTGGCTTAGGTGTTTCCAGATGGAGTGCTCTTAGCCCCAGCACTCAGACTGTGCAGCTGTTCCATCCTCTTCTCTTTAAATGATTTTCTGCATTAAGGAAAAGTTGGCAGATATGGTTTAAAAATACGGAATGGTTCAGTGTAGAAGATGGCATTGTCTGGACGCCTCACTGCCTAGGTAAACTTCTGTGAATGTGGCAGGATGATGGTACCATAAAAGCCTTGTTTGGAAGAACCCTGTTTTTAATTCTGCATTGTAAGGCCGTAAAATGAGCCATGCTGGAAGTGACCAAAGGGCCACCTACTCTAGCTTCACAAACTGGTCAACAATCTGCCTGTGGAAAACCCACAAGTAGGACATGAGTGCAATAGCACCCAGCTGATCCTGTTCTCCAACAACTGCTGTATGTAGACAAACTGCCTCTGATACTGGAGTCAGCATATAGCTCTATTCTTAACTAGTAGCCACTGACAGTCTTCTCCCCTCTTTTATAGTAATCCAAATTGGTGGTCATTGATACAGCTTGTGGTAGTGAATTCCACTGTGTGGTGTGCAAAGTACTTCCTGTTATCTGTCCTGAATCTCCCACAAATCAGCTTCATGGGATTATCCCAAGTTTTGCTATATTCAGGTGTCTCCCTTTCCTCTTTGTCCACGTCATGCATAATTCTGAACTCTTCTTTTATGTATCCCCTTACCTGACTCTTTTTCTAAAATAGTCCTACACATTATAACCTTTCCACAGAGAGGAATCAATCTTGTCCTTGTCATTTTAGTTACCCCTTTCTGCACCTTTTCCAATTCTACAATGTCCTTTTTAGATGGGGTGACCAAAACTGTCACCCCCATCTGCACTGGTCACACTGTAGATTTGTATGAGGACAGAATGATACTGCCAGTTTTATTCTCACTTCCTTTCCTAACACAGAATCTGCCCATTTCACAGCAATTGCACACTGTCTTGACATTTTCCTCATATCCACTAGGTTTTGATTTGGCTTTTTGTCGTATTCTTAGGGGCCTATGGCACACCCAATAAGCTTGAATGCCTCCTTTATGTTTTCCTTTTGCATCTGTTTAATGAATGGAAACAAAAAGCTTTCTTGAATTAACCATTAGAAAAGCCAATCCTTGTGTTGATTGCATAGGCCATCATCACAGCAACTTTCCCGGAATCATCTATTAACTGCTTAAAACGGGTATGTTCAGTGAAGTGTGACTTGCACGCCACAATATTTTGCCTAAAATCTGTGTCATCTCTTTTCTCTTGGCTAATTGGCCAACTGCCTCATCCAAAGCAAAAGGGAGCAGTTTTCAGTATGGACAGTCAACGATGCGGGTGGGAGGGTGCAAAATAAAAGTGCCCGCTGCAGTCATTCTGCTGGGACAGCGGGCCTGCCAAGGGGTGGTGGCGGGGGAGGCTCGGCTCCAGAGCTTGTGCTGTTATTGCCATGTTTATTTTGCACTGTATGTCGATAACGAACAAGCCGCCTCAATGTACAGCTAGAAACGGTATGTTATGGTGGACAGAGTCAGCCTGTCCTTGTTGCAGACTTCGACGAAACAACCTTCCTGCCGAACTTAACGCTCGCGAACGCCCTTCGTCAGGCCACAAGCATCACACGCTCGGCCAGGCTTGAACTGTGCGCACCAGCAACGAAATGGGGAGGGGGAGGGGGAGAGGGAGAGAGACGCACGCGCATATTCCACATTTTTCTCCTTTTTTTCCTCCCTCCCTCCGCAGTATTATGAGGTCAGCGCGCGGGACGGCGTGCCCTGTGACGTAACCCTCCGGCCCTCCCAAGTTCCTCCAATCCAGACATAAGGGGGGAGGGGGGAGCAAAGGGAAAGAAGTAGCAGTTGGTCTCTGTTGTTTGGGAAGGGGGGCGACGGAAGGGAAAGGAGGAAGGAAGGGAAAAGAGAAAAGACCCGGATGCCGCCGCCGCTCCCGTTGCTGCTGCCGCCGCCGCTCCTGCTACTATGTGAGGCGGAGCGGGCCACCGAAGGAAGGAGTTGTGCTTGCCACGGCAGCAGCTTGCGGGGGCAGGCTTGAGGGGGTGACCGAGAGACCTTGTGCTGACGGAGAGCGGTGGCCGTTTTCCTCAGGTCGCTGCCCGCAAGATGGAGGTGGCAGGGCTGGCCCTGGCGCTGGCGGCGGCGGCGGCGCCGTCGGGTGCGGCGTGAGGCGGCGGCAGCGGCGGACGACGACGCAGGGCTAGCAGGAGTCGCGGTGCGTTTGTCTGAGGCGGCGAGGGGCGCTGAGGCGAGGCGATGCTGTCGGTGTATGGAATACTGCTGTCGGCTCTGCTCGGCTCCTTCCTCACGCTGCTGTTCCAGGTCCTGCTTTTCTACCGGAGGAAGACCGAAGCCCCCGAGGGGCCGTCCCAGACGCCGAGCAACAGCGCCTTCGCCACCAGGGTAGTTCCCGACTCCTGCCTGAAGGAGTACTTCGCTGGCTCCGTTGGCGCTGGGCAGGAGGCGACTCTTAGCCAGTCCCCCTCTAAAAGCGAGCAGACCTCCAAGAGCTCGCTGCCCTCACCGCAGGATTCTCTCTCTTGCTTTGTGGAAAGTACTGAGGAGACCCTCTACTGGCTCAATGCTGTTTGCCTTTTTCTCTTCAGGGAGCTCAAGGACACTTCGCTTCTCAGACAGTGGGTCACGAAAAAGATTAAGGTGGAATTTGAGGAATTGCTTCAGACCAAGATGACTGGGAAGGTGCTGGAGGGACTTAGCCTGCGGGATGTCTCCTTGGGTAACGTCATTCCGTTTTTTAAAAACATCAAGATCCTGAGGCCAGTGACCTGCAGTGAGGAAGGCTGCCCTGAGGAGCTGGACTTTGAGGTTGATGTTGAATACAACGGGGGCTTCCATTTGGCCATTGATGCTGACCTTGTCTTTGGCAAATCAGCATATCTCTTTGCCAAGATCTCTAGAGTGGTGGGTCGGCTGAGGCTGGTCTTCACCCGGTTACCCTTCACACACTGGTCCTTTACCTTTGTTGATGAACCTGTGATTGACCTTGAAGTCAAGTCACAGTTTGAAGGAAGACCCTTGCCACAACTTACTTCCATCATTGTCAGTCAATTCAAGAAAGTTATTAGGCGCAAGCATACTTTACCTCATTATAAAATCAGGTAAGGTGAAAAGAAGATACACATAAGGCACATGCTGGTGGGAAGAGGGGAACATAAACTTCTGTTGACTTAGTCATGGTAAGGACAATTGGAGCATACACAAAAATGCCTTCAGAAAGTGCTGATACGGAGAAAGGTGAGTGGGATTTGCATCCACATACAAAGATCCACAATTATTCTTGCTTTGGCTTATTAGCCAGACATCAAGTTGTATTGTTGACCCATTTAATTGCTCATACTGGACTTGTGAAAGCTGGAGCAGTGCATCACTGCTGCTTTTGGCAGTTGTCTGGGCTTTTGATCTTATGGGAAACAATGTGAACATAGCCAAATAGTACCTTCATTTTCCCAGAAAAATGCTAGGTATCATTCATAGCTAGATATACAAGTGAGACAATAAGCCCAAGAAGTGTGGGAGTACCAGAAGAGGAATTACTATTGGCAGGATTGCAGATAATTCTAGTGAGAGAAAATAAAAACACCAATGTGTCTGCATGGGAAGCTTAGTGATGTGATGAAAGCAGACATACAAGAAATGGAAGGACAGGTCACAAAGAACAAGTACAGATAAGTAGCTGAGACTTGTAGAGGTGGTTGTGAGGAAAGCTAAAGCTAAAAATAAGCTGAAGATGGCTTAAGATAACAAGATCAGCAAAAAGGACCTTTTCAGGTCTGTTTTAAGGAAGAGGGAAGAAAGTGTAGAGTTACTTTTTGGTAAGGATGATGTAATGTTGATGGGTAAAAAAGAAAAATCTGCCCAGCTTCTGTTTTGTTTCTGGCTGTTCCCAAAAGGGAAGAGCTCTTTCCAAAAGGGAAGAATTGTATGCAGTCTCACAAAGTAGTGCAACTGGTGAGGGGTCAGAATTACAGCTCAAGATCAATAAGAAATTGATCCGGAAATAACTAGCTACCTTAAATGAGTTCCAGTCTTCAGGGCCAGATGAATTACATCCTAAAGTACTAAAAGAATGTGCTGATGTCTCAACTTCAGTTTATCATCCTTGAGGAATCGTTGAGAACTGATAAGGTGCCATGGAACTGGAGACAGGCAAAAGGCCCATCTTCAAAAAGCAGGGTAGGAGAGAATTGGGGAAACTAAAGAGCAGTCAATATAATTTTTATATTAGAGAATTTACGAGAATGAATCCGAGAGGTCATTCTTTAAGTGCTTTGATAAACAATACAGAGAGTTGTAGAAACCAGCTTGGATTTGTCAAGAATAAAGGGTAGTCACTTAGAGCACAGGCTTGTTTTCTGCTGCCACAGAAAGCAGGAAGAAATCTAATGTTTTTAAGTTACAAAAGAGATTTCAGGTGAACTTTAGGATAAGAGCAGTTTCACCATGGAACCAATTACTAGGGGCAGGCTTTTTCTTTTCTTGTAGGTATTTGAACAGAGGCTGGACAGCTATCTGTTGAGGATACTAGCTCTTTACTGGGGGGCAGGGTGGAGAGAAAGGATTTACTTGTGGCCTACCAGTCCCTTACAATTTTGATTCTTTAGTTCTGCAAAAGTCCTGCAGAAAAGGAGCACCCCACCCCCCCAATTCCCAGATTACTGAAGAGGAAAGAATAAGTGTCTTTCTTTTGCAAGAAGTGCTGACAGCCGTCAGTGCTATGCTCCATCCCGTGAAAGTGAGAAAAATGACCCCTGTACACTTAGTGAACCGCAGAGCTCTGAGGAAAGGACACAACTGTCTGTTGCTATTCCATAGATCTTCCTCAATTTATGGACAACTCAGGGAAGCTAACTTTTGTGCTTAGTGTGTGGGGGAGAGTTGCTTGAGTGGAGAGGATTTATGGAACAATGGTTACAAATTACAAGGGGGCAAAAAAGTAGCAACATTAGGAACTTGTTAGAATGTTTAAGAGAGATGGTTATGATACCCTTTTGTTATGTGTGGTATTTTATAAAGTAAATAAGGAAAGAATTACTGCCTGTCTAAGGTCAGCTGCTCATATACCTGACTGTTTACTTCTAACATTTAAAACAATAATCCTATTTGTACATTTATACTATATTCAAATAATACTATCCTTGTATTCTGGTAGTACATAGTTCAGATCAGCTGTTCCTGGCAGTTGCAGTCTGCAGTCCTCTACCACTTACTTGAGAATAAATCCAGGTGAACTCAGTGGGACTTAAAGATCTGCAGATATATATAGGAATATGCTGTTAATCACTAACAAAGATTGTAAATTCTTCTTCACCCATAAGTTCTATTGAAGAGGGATTTCCCTGGTGTTCCCTACCATTCTGCCTCCCTGTACCATCCTGAATATTAGTAGTACAAAATCTAGCAGTATTAAGTTGTTACTTAATGTTATCTTATTGATATGTGCTCTTGGGTTTCAAAAACAACAATTTTCTTTTATTTAACAACTTAATTTGCCTTTTCTCCTGGGAGTTCATGGGAGGTAACATAATAATAATAAAGCAACACTTTAATTATTAAAAACAACTTTCAGTCTACAATATAAACATGGGCATAGCAATGCTGTAGCTGGTAGACTGCCATAGAATTGCTTGGATTGCCAGCTTCAGAAAAGTGCTGTAATGTCATAGCTTGGAAAAGGAGTGCCAGGCCTCCACATCCTGCAGCAGGTGTGGAAAGAACCGTGCCAGCTGCGTTTTCAAGGTTGCAAGACTGACCTGAGAAAATGACTTTGGGGGCCATTCCCAGGAACAAGGAGGGCAAGAGACTAATGCCAGCAAAGTACAATGGTGGTGCCTCAGCCTCCCCTCTCTTTCCAAGAAACCAAACCTAGATGGCCAAAATCAGTCTTCTAGCAGACTTGAAGGGGGGGGGGATGTGGAGGTGAACTGCAAAATGTTTCTTCTGTAGATGATGCCTGTATTTCTCTGAGTTTGGAGGATTATGCCACCCTAATTAGATTGCACCCTAAATCTTAAAACATCAGCGGAATATAACATAATTGAAATCTGATGCCTCCCTTTTAATCAGAGATTAAAAACATTAAATTTCCCTTCCTAAACAGGTGAGTTTTTACTAGCTTCTGGAAAGCTATTACTGAACACGTAAGGCTTTCCTTCTTTGTAAACGAAGGTGCAGCCACCAAAGAGCCAAGCCCAAATACTGTTTTCAGAACTTTATACTAATATAGTATATTGATTTATTATTAAGACAGTAAAAAAATTATTTAGACATAATCTTTGGTATTAGCTGTAAACTCTGAATGCATCAGTAGCTACTGTACAAGATACAGAGAAAAGCTGGCTAGTTTTTCTCATACTATGCTAAAAAGTGTCCTTAGAACCACAACATATCTTCTGTCTATCTAGTTCTAGGCCACTTTAATGGTAGAATCCTTACAGACTGTTTAGGGCTTTATAGATCAGTACCAAAAATTTTGAACAGGGCTCAGAAACAGGATGCTGGTGAATTTGCTTCAAAGCTAATGATAATATTTTGTTAAAAATATGCATACCAGAGAAAAATCTGCCTCCTGCATTTAGTACTAGCTGTAGTTTCTAGCCTCACATAGAGTATGTAACGGTAATCTGACCTTAAGGAGATTAAAGAATGGATCACTGTAGCCAGAACTACCTTCTTTAGGAAGGAACATAGCTGGCTCAGAGACTGAAGTTGGGCGAAGGCATTCCTGACCACTGCAGCCACTTGGCCATCCTGAAGCAAGATCCAAGAGAACCCCCAAGCTGTGAATCTGATCCTTCAGAAAAGAGTGGAGCTTTATCTAGAGCAGGTTAGCAGGTTGTACTCCTAGTCCTTGTGTGGCCTGTCTGCTGACCAACTGGACCTCTATCTTGCCTGGACTGAGTGTAAATTTATTCACTTAAATCCATGCTGTTATACTAGCTGTCTGGAACCAGTTTTAGCCCAGGGGCATGATTAACCCTATCCAAACATATTGAGGAACATATGCCAGCAGTGGCTGGAACCATGCCCAGTGCTAGCATGTAACCTTCTGACATGCATACCTAGACACCCCCCCCCCCCCACCACCTTCACGTACACACCAAGCCAGCTTCACTTGTCCTTTTGGAGCTAGTTTTAAAATGTCAGAAATAGTAGCTCTGAGCTGGCTTTGTTCATCCTTTACTTTTCTTGATGAAATGGACAAGAGGTAAGTGAAGCTGACTAAATGGTGCCTCAGGGAGTTGCTCTTCTGCTTCCTTTCCGTTGTCCGTAGGTATAGGACTTGGGAAGGAGCCTCAATGGGGACACATACCAGCCTGATGGGGAGGCCAGGCATGGGTGGAGAATGTATGGTTCATGCAACATAGCTGTGGTGTTTTAGAAGAAGGGAAGGATCTGGTTGCTAGCACATCTGCTACATATGCATGTGTGTATGCATGTGTGTGGCCTTGATTAAAAAGTGAGTGATTTTAGGTTCTCTGAGTAAAAACAAACTATGATGCCATTATTTTGCTATTCTCTATTTGTTTTAGTACATTTCTCTGTGAATACATGATTCACAATGAATTATTTCCACTGAAGCCCCATAAAAATTATAACCAGTCTCTTTCTGTAAAAAAAGAAAGTTAGACAAAATCTTTTGGGCTACTGCACAAGAATTCTGGTGAATCACATTCAAGTTTGGCTTTACAGGTTTAGACAATAGTGTATGGCACAAAGATCATTTCATTCTGAAATGCTGGTGATACTCTCTAGGAGTCCAATCCCTAATTTATTGAAGGTCCTCTAAAAGAGGATAACATGAGTTGTGAAAGTTTGCTGCTAGAAATAAAAATTCAGATCCCCGCAGTAGTGCTTTGTGTATGCTTGTATAAATCTCTGAAACTTGGCCATTGTTCAAATGTATGTGGAAATTACTTTTGCCTGTTGGACATAGTTCCAAGCTCCTCTGTGCCATAAATAGCAACAGGAACTTACCTCAATCATAATCCATTTGTTTCTGTTTTGTTCTGTTTAGATCTAAGGGAACAATGTTGAATAGTCCCTCTATCTGCCTGCTCCCTAGGAACAAAATAGTCAGAAGGCCCACTGTGCAACTGTT